GGGTAAGTCTATGAGTTTTTTTTTTTTTTTTAAACCAGAAAGTATATAAGTTTTGAGGTACCTTGTTTGTTACAAGAGACAAGAGTGAGGAGGGGAGGGGAAGGGAAGGGATAAAGAGAACTAGTGGAAGAGGGAGAAAATTATTTTTCTTATGTTAAACCTTGTTCAATACAGGAAAGAGGAGAGGGAAAGGAGGAGAGAGATTTAGTGGAAGACAAGGGAAAATTACTTTTGTTTGTGTTTAACAGTTACCATTATTTCCTCTTTATTAAAAATTATGGTTTAGGCTATATTTAATCTTTTGAGTTGTTTGCCTAGTCTTAGGCCTCCACTTTCTTAGGGAAAGAGCAAAGTTTCACCTTCACTTCCACTTTCTATCTGCCTAGCCTTCATTACAGTACACAGAAATCAGCTTTCAGTAGATGTGTATAATAGTCTCCTCTGGGATCACATGTCTTTATCTAATTATTTTTGTTTTTATATGTCCTGAATCAAGTGCTATATTGAAATATAAATATTACTATTTTCATTTTATAAACACATTCTTTTCTTTATAATACCAGAGTTCTCTATTTTATTTATTTTTTTCCCACTTCATGTTCAAATGCAGTGTTGTTATTGTGGAAGGGGATCCCCATCCTGTGGCAACAAGTGGTCGGATGTCATTTTTAAGTTTTAACCCTTCTATTGATGTGAGTGTAAAAGGTAGCATAATATTTAATTACTCTTATAATTTTCTTTTGGCCATCTCACATCAGAAGTTTGTTTCGGTAGAAACTCAATGAAGATCATCAACCAGAAGCCTCTACTATGAATTCTGGCCGACAAAGCGGAACAATATCTATTAGGTTGCATTCCCTTACTTTTTGATCATTATTGACACAATAGGGCTTATTATGTCTTAAACTTTGTTTTGTTGGTGGACCAATTTTGCAAAAAATTGCTTTTTTACCGTCACTTAAGATTTAACATGGATGACATGAAACTCTCTATTGTAATGTTTATAGGAAAATGAACACTAATCGAACTTCATATTCTTCCCATTAACATCTTCAATTAATAATAGAGCAGTTTTTTGTTATCACTCAAAATTGACGGTCAGGAGTTCACAACTTTGGGAGACTAATCAAATTAACCATGAGATAGTTTTCCCTTTGATTCTTACTGTACTTGGACTTGAGTAGAAATTAATAATGCATCTTTGCTTGATTATATATTGAGCATTACTTGGGCAATAAGTATGGCCCAAGAATTTATGGTTTCCTTGATCTATCATTCACTGCATATGC